CTACCTCACTCGCCATCCTTTTTTTTCCCCCACCCCCCACTACCTTTCTCCCTCAGAGGTGATACACTTTTTATCTAGAACTGGTGAACGGTTTTGTGGGTTTATTTATTTGTTTTTATGTTTGGAATCTTCTGAAATCAAATGAAAAGCAAGTTCTGGATAACGCAACTGCCTGTGGACTTGACAAGTTCTAATTAGTCGAGGATTTCAGTCCAGTTTTCAAGTTACGTTCCACTAGGATGAAGAAACACACTTTCCCAAAAACAGGCATAAAGCAGGATTGCTCTTGATATCATGTAACCTGTTTCAGCAATAGAAAGGTCCAAGTGGGTGAAAAGGGGAAAAGGACAGAGGGCTCTTTGGAATGTGTACCTGTCCAGCTCTGGCTAGTGGAGATGTTACTGCTAGAGCTCTTCCTAAAATGATATTCTACATTAAAACTTTTCAATCATGTCTCTAGTATCACTGCTTGGCTATGTCTTTAAGCCTTCTGTACTTAAAATTCTGTCTCAGTGGTGTTGCATGCTGCTTTCACTGTGTTTATGCTACAGCATCTCATCTGTTTTTCTGCTCTTCACCGTTGCCTTGATTCATTTCCTTTTGTGTCTGTCTTGTCTTTTCTTTTTTTAAGTTAAAACTAAAATTCCTATTTTTCCCATTTTTTATTATGCTTAATGATGCTGTCATAATTTTCTGATGTTAGTTATTTTTTGTTTCTGTATAAGCAAACCCTAAATTGGATTTTAGGACTTAAAAAAAGTAAGTAAATTCTAAGCCTGGTTTCAAAAGAGGTTTTAGAACCATCAAGTTTCTATATGTTTGGGGAAAATAATGCCTGGGCAAAGGAGAGAGACTTCTACTACAGGCTGTACTGTGGAACAAGTTGGAAGTGAGTTACCTAGCCTGTGTGGTAGGAGCTAGGCAGTTAATTATTATGTAACCTGTTAGCCTTGTAGTCAGGGTGTCACACAGGACGTAAGGGAGCTGAATTTGTGACAACTGGAGTGCTTATGCCACTGATCCGAATTCAAGTTTGGTAATTCTGCTTATGGAACAACTTAGACTGACACTTTCTAGACACTGCGTTTTTATAATACCTATCCAAAGTAACAAAAGAGTTAAGTTGTTTCATATTTCTGCCACTGCAATCTGCTTTTCAAACGTTAACCTAAGAATTTGCTTCTTTTAACAAGCAGATCTGCTGCTTTCAAGACTTCTCTTAAGTGTAGAAAAAACTTCAGAAGTTTTAAGTTGCTATCTATCTGTTCTTTCAAATTGGTAATAAAAATTAGATTTTGCTGTGACTTCTGCAGAGCGTGAACTGATAACTAGGTAAATGACGGACAGTGCCATGTGTCTCTGAAGATAACCATGTGTTATTTCGTGCTTTTGTTCTTACTTGGCTTGAACCAAGATGGCAAGGTCTTGAGAGCAGGAACTTTTATACACAGACGAATGTCTGTAATAGCTGCTAACATTCAATACTACAATATGTTTAAGCAATGTTGCTATGTTGAAGTTCAAGGCTACAGTCAGTTTTCCTGTCTTATTTATGTGGGATCTTTATGCATAGAGGAAGAAAAGGACTCCTTAAATATGGGGGAAGAAGGGAAAAGTGCCAGAAAATATACGTATGGGTAAAGTTCCTGAGGGAGAGGGATAAGTGGCGTTGTATCCTTTCTGCACAGAGTAGAGCACCTGATTTAAAGTCCATAAGATATAGTCTCTTGGTATTAGCAGACATTTTAATTGGACCACAAAGATAGCTAGAAATATGTGTAAGGTAACAGTTATACACACAGTAGTCTGGGGATATAAGGAAAATATAGGTATAGGAAACACAGATATCTCTTATTAAGCTGACTGAAGAGGAAAACAATACAGGCAATCTTTTAAGCATTTACTGGAAGTTTTTGCCGCCCTCTGCAACTGTTGGTTTATTTGGATAAACAGGTATAGGTCAATATTTCAGTAGATTACTGGGTACACCTTTATGCTCAGTAATTGAAACATATTTTTAGACTTTCTCAAGGTTTATATTTGAGGAAAAACTATATCCAACTCTATAATATGATATTGTTACAGGTATTGTGAAATTAAATGAATAGAAGCAGAATAATAGGGCAAATTCAGTGTTTCAAGGCTGGATGCTGTTTCTCTTTAGCATCAACAAATACTGCTTTGTGCATTACAGATGAAATCTTGTGGCCAACCCATGCTGCCACCTCACCTGTTTACAACATACCCTGCCCTTTCAATCTCTGTCCCATTGCTTCTAACTTATTGGGTCTGTATCAGGGGTGGAAGCTACTTGACTACTACACCTATTTAGAATTAGTTCTATATCTTCCTGATTTGCATGCATGGTCTCCCTGTGCCTTGCTTCCCTGTCCCTAACCCTCTTTCCTGTACGGTTTTTCTAGCTCTCAGCCCTGATGCACTTAGTTCAGTTTTTATTGAGTATACATTTATAACATTATTTTACTGGTTTAGATCTTCACCGTCTTATTGAATTTTGAACACTTTACACAGTAGAGAAATTCATGGCAAATGCTTTCTTGAAAAGTAATCATGCTGCAGGTTATGTCAAAATGAGACGGAATACTCGCTTAAGGTTGAACTCTGGCATGAGTAGAAAAATTAGTTACAAATCATGAAAATACATAGATTATTATGCTCTTAGCATATTTTTCATCAATAAATCTGTAAACAAATATGGTATCTTATAACTGGATATTTTCCTGTGTATTTTCAGGATATGTCAGCCTCTGTGGCTTTGAAGTGATTTTAAGCACTATTTGCTGGAGCACTTGTGCATTTTTTTTTCTTGCTCTCTCTTTTTTTCAGTGGTCTGAGACCTAAGTCATAAAGAATGGATGTTGGATACAGAGACCTTTGTTCTTGGTCATAACCAGCAGACACATTTGGAAGTGCTTGCCCTTATTCCAGAAGTAGTTTTTAGTGCCTTTTTTGGTGCTGTTTAGTTATTAATTTGGAATAATTTTGTTGGTATATTTTAATGAAAACTTCTGAGATGATATGAAGATGAGCGAGGTTTAGGAGGCACTCTTATGTATACTTCTCAATGTCTAACCATTTCATTTTTAATATGCAGGAACTTTTTAGGATGGAGAACTATGTTTCTTGCCTTTGCTGGATTTCTGGGAACATCTGAAACAACTGGACCCTCATCTTTGCTAGCTTTTTGGCAAGACATATCCGTTCCTCAGAGGTTTTCTGCATATAATACGCATTGAACCTTGAACAGTTTAGAAGCTGCGCACTGGAAATGTAAGTCTGACACCTGTTGATAAGAAATAAGATCAAATTTATTCAGGAAATTTTTGATTTTTTTTGCACTATGTTTGGCAACCTATCACTGGAAAAAGAATAATTACCCCTTTACATTGATGAGGAAAACAAAGAAGCTGTGTGTGGAGAAAAAAAAAAAATTCCATCTGGGAATTGTTACCAAATACTGTTGTGATGAGAGGTCATGGTATTACTAAACATGAGGTACATTTATTTTGATGTTCTTAGTCTGTCGGTGCAGAGAAGCTAACTTTATCCTTATATAGATCTGTAGCTAGAGGGAATGGATACTGCTCAAATTCAGATCTTTAAGGATATTCCCACGCATAAAAATAGGTCTAGAGTATCTGAGTTTATGCCCCTCTTTATTGTATTTATCAAAGGCAAAACTGAAATAGGTACCAAAATTTGCCTTAGGAAGAGGTCAATATTTTTATCCACATGAGGTAAATAACTATCATCTTTGGAAAGGCACGTGAATTATCAGAACGGTCTTTGCTGTGGCAGTCACCTTTGTAATTTTTAGTAAAATGATCTTCTGAAAATGGGTTGGCTTACAGAGCCAGTCTCAGGGTAGCCTATGGTAATTCTTCTCTATGCACTTGGGGGAGGAATAGGTATAAATCTTGGGGGATGCTTGCTTCTATTTTTCATAGACACCTGAAAATAACTTTTTTGTAGAGAAGGAAGAAACTATTTTCAGAACTTCTCTTTTATCTTTTTTGCAAAAATATTATAAAATTGATGTTTTGAACAATTCTTTGTCTGGTGAAATGTTAAAGTGTTAAGAGCTGTTGACAGTGATAACATAGATGGTGTTTTTGCCAGACTGCGTTTTGGGTTATACAGAGAGAAACAAAGTTTTGAACCTACTAAAAATACATATATATCCATATAGACTAAAGTGGACTTCATATGCTTAGTGGGCCATTCCTAATACAGGAAGGAGGTGAAATATGTTTATTTCTGCTATATAATCAATCTTGTGTAAGTATGACAATCTGCTGGGTTATGGTTTCTGCTGTATGCTGTATGTCCAGGTTTTTGCTTGGTGATAGCTAAGTCTGCCGCTTTCAAGAAAGTGCAAACTTACTTTGGACAGTGCTCTACAAATTAGTGGAGAGAGTTGGTGAAAGTGACAGGTTATTTTTATACAGTGGAATTAGATGTGGATGAACTTTCTTTATCTTTTTCAGTTACCTCACTATCAATAATTGATCTAAAATTGATCTCATCTCCATGGGCCTTCAAGTAACTTTTCACTGACTTGTTATATCTGAATACAAAAAGATCAGAGACCGACTTTCCACTGTCTAAAAACAGAGTTAGTCTGCCTTTGAACTCATTTAATCTGTCCACAGTAAGGTAGCTTCCCATTTCTGGGCCCAGGTTCACAATAACCCGCAAGTCAAATCTCTTGGATATGCATTTATATCACTACTATTTTTAATAGGCTTTTGAGGAATTAAAATGATCCTGTTCATTAGATGTTTGGAACAGATTGATTAACGTGGGAAAAGTTGTCACCTATATGGTTCATAAAAATGGAAGAGATTTTTGTTGCAAACAGAGAAATCATAGAAATCTTCAGTTTATCTTCAATTCATTTTAGCATATTTGCTCTGCTTAGCATATTTGCTCTGCTCAGCTTACCTAGATTCTTATGTCTCAGCTCTATCCAGGTATTATATTTCTGTTGATAATAAACTGATGTGGCATTGAGGATGTGGCATATTATTTCTTAAAAGATCTTTAAGGCATCCATATCCTTTTACAATACAAAGAAATAGGTGTCGCTTGGCTTTGGCAGTACCCCCTTGAACAAATGAACATGTGAATTTTTTTTTTCCCCGTTTGCTCATTGTGAAAGCTAGTGCCACTTGTTCTGGTAAGGAGATTAGGCTAACGTGTGCTAAATTTTTAGGTGGAGTAATATAATCCAGGGTAATGGAATCAGCTATGGTTGGTCTTTGTGAATAAAGTGCATGCAGAACGCTTCCATTTTGAGATATTTCACAGAACGGCCAAGGTTGGAAGAGATCTCTGGAGATCTAGTGCAACCCCCCTGCTCAAGCAGGGTCCTCTAGAGCACATTGCCCAGGATTGTGTCCAGGCGTGTTTTGAATGTCTCCAGAGAAGGAGACTCCACAACCTCTCTGGGCAACCTGTTCCAGTGCTTTGTCACCCTCGCAGCAAAGTAGTTTTTCCTCATGTTTGGATGGAGCTTCCTGTGTTTCAGTTTGTGCCTGTTGCTTCTTGTCCTGTTGCTGGGCACCACAGGGAAGAGTCTGGCCTTATCCTCTCAGCACCCTCGCTTCAGATACTTGTTAGACATTGATGAGATCGCCTCTCAGTCTTCTCTTCTCTAGGCTAAACAGGCCCTGCTCTCTCAGCCTTTCCTCATAGGAGAGGTGCTCCAGTCTCCTCCTCATCTCTGTAGCCCTCTGTTGGACTCTCTCCAGTAGTGCTAGGTCTCTCTTGTACTGGGGAGCCCAGAATTGGACCCAGTACTCCAGATGTGGCCTCCCCAGGGCTGAGGAGAGGGGAGGATCACCTCTCTCAACCTGCTGGCAACACTCTTCCCAGTGCACCCCAGGAGACCATTGGCCTTCTTGGCCACAAAGACACATTGCTGGCTCGTGCTTACCTTAACTTGTCCCGCCTTGTGATTTGCCTTTAGCAATTTGTGGAGGAATAAAGACTCTGAAGCAGAAGATTAATTTTATGTAGGAAATAAAACTGTGAGGACCTTTTTTTTTTTGCCTTTTCTCCTGAAGTTGGAGTTTGGAGAGCTCCTGTCATCTTTTCTAGTTTCAGTCTTTGACTGCTTGCTGTATATACTGAGCATATGCCGCCTGTTAAAGCAGTAGCGAAATCAGCTGGAGAGAAGGGACTGATGGCGTAAGCTTATGTTAAATGGAGAAGATGCAGAAATTGGTTTGGTTTTGGTGTACATATCTCACTATGTAACAGGAAGTAACTAAATCCCTGTAATAGCCTATCAGATTTGCATATACAGTAAGGGACATGGATATTTACATTAAAGGTTTTCAGAATTTCAGTCGATTGTGATGGGAAGAGGGTGTAAGCTGAGAAGGCAGCTGAAGCTTGAAATTACCAAATAAGAGGAAAAAAAGCTAGACTTCTCAAAAGTGCATGCCTCTACTGCATCTGTTATTTGTTTAGCACATCTGTGTATTCTTCCACTGGTTCTGCAGGGGGGAAAAAAACTCTGTAAATTTTCTTTAACTCCCCAATAGCAATTTTATTTCAACAGTGGATTTCAGTATTTGTTAATTGGTGGAGCCCTTAAAAGTTTTCTAATGAAGTGTGGATAATTGTTTTCCGTATATTTTAATTTACTGTGTCTTTGCTATTGTATGCTGATCTGAAAGTCAGTAGACCCACATGGTCAACAGATTAGTCAGAGTACCAGTGCACTACATATATTGATTCAGACTTGAGAGTAAAGGGCTTGCATGACACTTCTGAGCTTTACTTAGCCATGTTATCAGCTGCAAACCTAGATTTAAGTTACCAATTTAAAAAATAGTTACAAACACCTATATATAGTAATTGTTTGCCAAGCTGCTGTTATAAAGGGGGGGGGGGGGGGGGGAAGCTATCTCTTCCCGCAATTTCTGTGAAATTCAGCCTTGTACATTAACTTTGTGTTTTTACATTTTCCCCTATGATCTTTCTCTTCTTTCGGTGCTCTATAATAAACCTGCATGCGTAATTTGGTTTTCAAATTTAATTGCAGGGGTCTGATTTAATTTGGCAGATTTGGTCTGATTTAATTTGGCAGATTTAATTGCAGTGGTTTAATTTGCTAGGTCTTTTATGTCAAATGTAGGCGTACAGAGGCAGATTCTTTGATTCCTTCTATCCTATATGTGATTTCATATGTATATTAAAAATTTTCCTGGGCAATGTGCTCTAGAGGACCCTACTTGAGTAGGGAGGTCGGACTAGATGATCTCCGGAGATGCCTTCCAACCTCAACCATTCTGTGATTTTGAAAACTTGCATGTTTACTTTTCAGATACAATGGAAACCATATGTAGTTGTGCCCTTATTTTCCTCCTCTACTAATGCCAGAGGAGTATTATCCACATGATTATCTTAGCTGCAGTAAAAATGATGTTTTGTAATAGTTATTTTTAAACTTTTTTTAACAGCGCAAAGTGAATATGTGTAGAAAACATTGAAAACTAAAACAATGAAAAGAGACCCGCTGGGTTAAGTTTAATTTCCTTCCAACACTTCCATAAATCCCATTGATAAACTTGCCAAGCTACTTTTAAAAACTGATTAGATCTTTCCACAGCAGAAAAGGAGACCAATGTTAATATGATTTTTATACATAAAAAATATTATTATTTGTACGTCATATGAAAAGGTTACTCTCTGAAGTTCTTTGTGTATACTTTAGTGTTTCTCTATATGCTGGTGTTCTGAAAACCTTAGGAGGTGGATATTTTCTGTTTGGAGAAGATGCACTTAGTAGATGAGTTGATCAAATCTGGAGTTTCAGTTATAGCTATGGTAAACAACTTGTACTGAAATTATATAAAGATGCTGTTTATGTAGCACATCTCTTAGCTGAGTACATTTTTTATTTTGTTAGTAAACTGCCACCTACACCAGTGACCCTATCACATCCTTTGCAAAAGTAATAAGGTTTATTCTTTGGAAATATACACAAGATCTGACCCTTCTTGAAGAGACTTTAGAAAGGTGAAACATGCTTAAGTTTGTCCTTGTAAGGTTCTCAGTAGTTTACTGTGAATGTTTAACATTTATACTGTTACTTTTATAGGCCTTGAATTACCCCAGTTATGTGGGAATGATTCTTAGTAGTTGACCACACAAATTTGCTTTAGGATTCTTCCGGCTCCTACACAGATTGTGAGACCTTGTGCAGATTATTTCCTCTTCAGTGTTTCATCTGTGAACTTTCTTCTGAGTAGTGTTTCCTGACTAACCTTCACCACCAAATCTTGGTTTTGATGTTGGATTGTATTCCCTGATAAAACAGGTATTCCAACTAGGAATTAACACAAAAGTTGCATAATATTTATTATGGCAATGTAGTATAGTTATTTGTTACACTTTCCTTTCTGATTCACTTATGTTCAGTGGTTTGTCTTTATTTGCGTAATAAAGACCAAATTCTTTCGGATAGAGATCTAGGCTGTAAAATTTTGCAACAGCAAAGCTTAATGAGAACTATAGCAAGGAAGTCTTTCAAAATGTTTAATTTACACTGAAAATGGTATAAATAAATGTACCGTGTATTTTAATTAAGTGCTACTTTAAAGAAGGATAATATTAAAATCAAGGCAAATCCTAGATGAATAAACTGAAAAATTTCAGGGTACAATTCTCTGTTCAACTATGCATATAATGTGTTAATATCGGGCCCATACACGGGAAAAGTAATCCTAAAAATCATCTTTTACTGTTGTGAATTTTTAGTTCTGTTGTAACTTACCTGTGATGAGAATGGAGAAGTGAATTTGTTGCTAAAACTTGAAGTTTGCACTATCAAATTTTCTTTCGATACCTAAAATCTTTAAGATGGTGGTGGGGGGGAGAGCCTGGACATCTCAGGTAGTCTGACCCACCTTTACTAGGTATCACCAAGTGAAAAGGTCTCTCCTTTCTGCCTTTCCTTTTTCTCCATATGGTGAGGCAGTTGAGGAAGCAGGAGAAAACAAAACACAAAACCACAACAATATAGCACATCCTCCTTTTTTATTTTCCACAGAGGATTAGCTTTCTGTTGGTGTTTGACCCTGAGCCAGGTAACCGCGAGGTCTGGTAAATACCCGTTCCATTGCTGGTTGGTTCAAGAGAAGTGGCAGGAATGTAAGGCTAGGACTATGTCTTTTTGTTAGCTATCCAAATCAATTTAGAATGTGGTTTGAGAGCTGTTCAGGCAACGTCTGCCCCCTCTGTATACTTTGTTGAAACACTGGATATATGTTATTGGAAAGGGCTGTTACACAGCATGGATTACCATTTGAGCAGATCAGTTCAGTGCACCAATTCCTTTTGCTGCTCAAAGTTGGCTTCTGCTATGAAGTTTATTTGTATAACTAAGCTGACAAAGTCTTACTAGAATATTTGTTATATAATTTGGTTTAGTCTCAACCAATCTGCAAAATATACATGGGAAAGTGTTTTCCATGTGCTGCCAACTAGAGGTAATTCCAGTTAAGGATCCACTACAATGGAGTTCTTCAGTAACTTTACTAGTTTTTAACCTTGTATCTGCAGATGGAGGAGGAGGATCTAAGTGAAAGAGGATTGCCACAAATTGCTTCAATCATGAGTAGAGTTAGAGACTTGAAAAACAAGTACAAAAATGAAGACAATGTCACAGATGAACTTAATTATACTAAAATATCAGCTGACACAACAGGTAAGTATTTTCTCTGTTGACAGTGACAGTATTTTCTCTGACAACAGTATCTCTGTTGTCACTTCTGTAACTGATCTTAACCTAGACTAAGAATAGAACAACTGTTAACTGAAAGGGTTTAAAGTGTTTCAATATTATCCTTTTAGCATTTCTTTAGTATTAATCACCTTAAAATAAATTTCATCTCTCCTAGTTTTTTTTAAATAACTTTTTGTTTCCCCAGTCTATTGAATCTTTGTAGGTGAAAGTTCACAAAAAGTGTTTTATGGTGCTTTTCATGTTTGTTGCAGTTTTAATCAAACCGTTTTGTTATTTTTCTGTTAGATAACTCTGGAACTGTTAATCACATAATAATGACAACAAACAATCCAGAAGATTGGCTGAGTTTCTTGCTTAGGCTAGAGAAAAAGGGTATTCCTCAGATGGATGTTGCACTACTGAATAGACTCATTGGTCGTTACAGTCAAGCGGTAACTGCATTACCTGCAGAAAAGCATAGTCAAGATGAGAGCTATGCTCGCATCCTTGTGCGATTTGCTGAGTTGAAAGCGTAAGTATGCATTGTCATTTTTCAGTATAAGAAGTCTGACTTCTGAATTTTGATGATGGTAAAGACAGTTATTTTTCATTAGTGGCTTCCACAACATAAATGAATGTTTTACCTGGTCATGTTGTTTTCATGTAGCATCTCTGAAATTCTGAACAGGTTTAGCTAGTCAACCTACCTATTGCTTTTGCAGTACTTACATTCCTCTTATATATGAAAAAACGTGATTGTTCAGAACCTTTTGATTTAGATGTGTTAACATACATTTTTACCTGGATTGTATGTGTCAGGCACATGGGAAGCGGTATGAGATGTTGTTTTTCCCCCTTACTTCAGCTTTATACATCAGCTCAAAAGAAGCTGCAGATAGTAGCATCAGTGAAATCTGATAAAGCTTTAATTTTGGGGAAATTCTAAACTGTGTTTTAACACAGTACATTGCAAGTTATGATTATTTCCCCTGGGGACTTCTATAACTGACTCGCCGTAGCTGTAAGGTACACAACCTGCTATTATCCAGTCCGTTTAGCCAAACTCCAGTGATCTAAACTTCCTTATCTAGTCTGCTTTCTCTCTTGGTGAATGAACTGCGTTAAATAGCTGCCTTAGGACGGGAAGAGCATCTAGGAACATCATTCTAGACTTTCGTGACTTAGGAAATTAGTTCTAACTGTAAGCTTTTATTGCTTTATCCACATTTGAACACCAGTGTTTCCTTTCTCATATTTACTGGGGCAGGATTCTAATTTGATTTTTTGGTGAGGAGTTCTTTTGTCACTCAAAATACTGTGACAGCACATGGGTTGATGAAGAGCTGCTTTTAAGCATCATAGCAGTTCTTCACAGTCAAAGAAGTGAGCAGGTGGTCTCCCCATGAGTATGGCTAGACTTTTCCTTTCTGTATTCTGCTGTGTGACCTTTTGGCAGGTGGCTTGATCTAGCAGTATTGGTATGATCTGCTGCTTTGCCTGTTCTGTCAGCTCAGTGGATCTTTCTGCATCATCATTTACTTCTACTGTATGTCTTCAGTAATCTCTTGAATCTACTGTTGGGAAAGGAGCAGGTGTGAGTAATACTCTGTTGTGAATCCTTAGCATCTTGAAGAAAGATGTTATTGTGTAAATGCTGAGCTAAAACATATCTTCCAGAAAGATCTCCTGTCTTTATCTAAAGATACTGAGAGATGGTGTTCTTGTTAAATGGCTAGTTAGTTTTCATCTGAACAGAGATTGTGTAACAGAGGCTTCCAGCTCATGCTTTTCAATCCAAAACTGAAACTCTTTGGCGTTTGGAACTTCTTTACCAAAACGGTGCTTGGATGCTTACTATCAAGCCACATCTGTGTTCTTTTTGAACTAAACGGAACTTTTACCTTACACCATGAGAGATTATTTTTTTTACTACCTTAATCATTTTACAACTCTTGGATCTCTTTGCACTTGATTTTTTTTTTTAATACGATTTAAAAAATATGGATGCCAGAACTGCATGACATATTCTGTGTATGGTATAGCAAAAGACCATAATTGAAGGTACTGTCACTAGCCTATTAATAGTAGAATGCATGAATATTGTTAACCATTTTAGTTGCAATGTCTCATTGGGGTGATGTGTTTAGTTGCTTGACCACTACAGGTTTTAGAGACCTTTTCGGAAGTAGTCTGTACCTTTCTTTGTTTCATTTATTAAAATGCACGGCCTTTAGCTATACTAAAACATCTTCTGCTTTGGTAACCAGTGTTCCTATAGAGTGCACCTAGCTCACTGGGTAATTCAGATCTGTTCTTTTCATTTTCTACTTGGTATCTGTTAATCAACAAATGCCATCAGTTATGTTTCCTGATGACAACTCTTTAAAGACAACAGCCCTCCCGCTGCTTAAAAAAAATGTACCCACTAAAATATGGCACAGCGTCAATCCCAATGGAATTTTCCTAGAAATGTCTCCCTAAATTGTGGTTCTCCATTTGAAAACTGCTTTTGGAGATTAACTAACTCTTACTCTGATTTGTTATAAGCTAGTGCTTTCTCAATCAGAATGGGATGCAATGTTATTTCTATGAAATTACATTCATAAGTTACACTTATGAACAAAACATGTAATGTCATCAGCATATGAAACTCATTTTGTTTAAAATCTGATCAATCAAAAGCAGTGTCACTGGTCTATTATTTCTGGAGATTGACATTAAGATATTGGAGTGTTTGAGTCTCTTGTTCTTAATGTTCACTCATTGCTAGCAATCTTGTTGGCTTCTGAGATCTCCACAGCATTTCAGATTTTTCTCTGTTCCTGACTGTCAGCTAGTCTAATATCTGTTCTTTGCTCAGTTTTAGTTTCTGTTAAAGAAAATATTCCCACCTATCTCATGGCTTACTAGGGTCCTTTGATTTTTCAGCTACTGCAAGTGAGTAGCACTTTGATCCACAGATGTTCCGACTGTAGTGCCTTTGGTGGGGGAAAACGCTCTATAGCAGTGCTCCATTTGCTGTTCTTTCAAATCTTGTACATAACAGGAAGAGCAAGTCATGGCTTCACAAACTTCTGAAACAAGCAACGACAGTAATTTGAGATTTTAGTGTCTATTAACATCAGCACTGGGTTCTTTTCGTCCATTCTTGGCACTTAGCGTGTCTTACCCTGGTCCATTTTCCAGACAATCTGACTGCCAAAACCTTTTAGCCTATTGTGATTGTGATGGTGCTTGAGAAACCCTTGAATGTACCCTGAAAAATGCTCAGGTGATTTTATGCTAACAGATGCATCTGTTAGCAAAACAGAGCTAACTGCATCTGTGAATGGGTCATCCATATTGCAAATTAACCATGCTTGGCCAGCCTTCACCTAACTCTTCTGGCTGCTGCACAGTGCCACCAAGTGTGTAGCATAGTGCCTGTTGCTCATATTAGGTCTTGCTGTGCTAATTGCTCTCCCTCTCTCCTTCTCTCTCTTTTCCCTCTTTTACAGAAACATTTTGATTTTTACGAGTGATAAAGTGAATTTCATGCATTAGAGCTTTATTAGTCTGACTTTGCTTGTGCAAAAGTTATTCTGTCCCTGTCCTATTGCTTTGGGTTATCAAAAGGTTGAGTGCATTAAACTTAACTGTACTCTAGTAATACACCTGAAGTGCTAATGATACTTTTCTCAGTATAATTAAACCTTTCACTACAGAATTCTATGGAAAGAGTCAGTTTGATATCTTTCGGTTATTAGCTTTTTAAGACACTTTGCTTATTTGTACTTTGCTAATGATTCTAAGGAGGAGAAAAACTTCTTGTGGGCTACAGATGAATTACTTTTCCAGAATTATCTGATGCTATCACTAAGTACATGGAACTTGATCCTTGTTAGTCAGGCTTTTCATTCTGTAACTATTACTCTCTTTACAGTCTTCAGGATCCAGAGGAGGCACGTGACCAGTTTCATTTGGCCAGACTAAATTGCAAGAAGTTTGCTTTTGTGCATGTGGCTTTTGCACAGTTTGAGCTATCACAAGGTGTGTAGAAAAACACGTTTTGTGGGTGGTGGTCTGTGTTTTAGTGTGGGGGTGTGTGGTGTTTTTTTTGATGCTACTCTGTCATATGTTTTTCAAGGAGCTGTGATAGGTATTAAATGAGAAAACGAAACATTTGGGTTTTCTTCTTTTATGATTAAATTTTAAAGCCAACATGTGCTTTCATTGTTAATTAAAATATACACGTGATTCTTAGTAGCTTTTCCCCCTCTTTAGAAATAATATTAAAGCAAGGTGAATATTGGCAGTGATTTCTGTCTTTTAAATGTAGTAGACCTTCCACTGGTAGGTATGGGTGAGATTCTTGGTGGGGTGAAAAATGATGCTCAGGTTTGGGTGGTAATCTCCCTTTAGGTATGTGTATCTTGCTTGTGAAGGAAGAAATTGTTTGGCTATTGCTAAACTGCTATGGAATATGACCCAGCAGCACAGCTGGTAATCTGAGATATACCTTCATATTTGTGTTTTCAAGGTTTCTTAAGGATAACCTAGTTTCGTTTAAAAGGAAGGTCATGAAAAATAATTGCTCTCAATTCTGGCTCCTTCCAAAAAAGCAAATGAAGATTATTGGTTTACTTTTTATTAAACCAAAATGCACAGAACTGTAAATAGGGAATTTAGGCCAATTAACCCCCTCCCCCCCCCTTGCCACTAATCAGGATGTTAAATAGCTGACAACTGAATTTTAACTGATTCTTCTGTTCCCTGGTCAATTGCTGAATAGTCATAAGATGAATGATATCTTCTATTTCTTCATAGTTTGGAGTGTAATTACTTTCTTGACAATATTATGGATGCCATGTTCCAGTCACCTGGAAAAAGAAAGCGAAAAACTTAATTTTGTCAGTATTCAAAATAGAATAGTATTCTTTGTATAGTGCCATGGTACAGTGTTTTAGGCAAGCCATTCTGATATGACAGTGATCCCATGTGTTTGTTAAAAAAAACCTTTCGCCTTCTTTAAGGTGTGTCTGAACTGTCCTTGCTAGGGGAAGCTTCACTGTGGCAAAATTTTTCCAAATTAATTTATCCTATGTATCTCAAGAAATCTTGATGTTTCAGATTATTTCAGGATTTATGCCGTGTTGGTTTCCAGATGGCTATTGAAATTATGCTCTAATTAACCTGAAACAATAGGTCCTCAATACTTTAAGCCACTAGTCCATGGAGTTTCTTTTGTCTTATTATGCAACTTATTTCCTCTTATGTGAAGGGGACATGACTCTAGTGCTTGGTACAAGGGATGTGCTACCTACCCATGAGCTGGTGTTTGTGGGTGTCTCTTTTAATCTTTCTTCCATGAGCGATTTGAGCAACGCGTCATCTGTGTCGGCCTGTTATTGTCTTTTTCCCTTTAACAGCTTTTTCCCCTGGAAAGAAAAGCATGTTCCATTAGAATTGTCTTCTTCCCTGAAAGAAGCAGCCTTGGTGGATACATTTTGAGCTGTCTCTAAGCATTATTATTATTATAGCTCACCATACAAGTATACTGCCTAGTATGAGGAATTCTCTTGAAAATTAACTGCATTGGACAGTTTTATCTCCTTTAATAATCTATTCTATGCTCTGACTTCTGAATGCATCTTAGTTCCTTTTTATGCTTATCTTTCTTGTTTGTAGACAGGACAACTACCTGTGAAAATAGATTTACAGTCCAATGCTTTTTTTTATTCTATTGTATTTTAGAATACAGTTTAGATGATCAGAGTGTGTCCCATGAAGCAGAGACATTTTATTAAAATCAGTAAGTAAATATTCAAAGTTTTATAGCTTTTTCAGTTATCCTGACTAGTAAGTCCATTTGCAAGGGAGCAGGAAAAGCTGTGGAAATCTCCCTCAAGAATACGTACCACATAACATAATTTATGGAGGAAGGATACAGAAAGCAACTGTTTCAGAGGATGTGGAGGAGAGAACAAAAATCTGCATGTCTGACTTGAAATTTCAGAACAATTTTTCTGTTTTAAATTTAGTCAGTTACCTGACCAGGGCTTGTTCTAAGGCCAGGTTGTTGTGCTGACCTTCTGAACAGTAGTGAAAAACTACCAGTAATTTGTGTGAATGTTTATTAATAAGAGTAATAAAACAGTACTGTGATAATTAAGATATTATCAAATACAGTATAATAGGCATAAAACTCTTATTGTGTAATTTGAGTAAAGTGTAGAAATGTTACCAGTGACTTAATCCATCCTTCTGTTACCTATGGATTTAATTTAAATTTAATTACCTATGGATTTAATTACCCCCTAGCTATGGGATGTGTTCATGCAATAGCTTTTTACTATGACAGCAAATAGGCAGCTTGAAATGAAATTTTAGTCCTAAAGGAATAAAACAAAGCTAATCATAACTGGTTTGTCTCCCATGTGTATTCTGATTTATATCTGTTATCCCTGACTTAGTCTATTTGACATTTGGTAATGTGTACAGAGTTACACATTGGTGCTTCAAAGGGGATTAGTATAATATGGGAGTTATATATTTCTTTTACTTTTTTCACTCATTTCATACAGCTTAGGCCAAAGGAAAGTGAGGGAGCAATGCTTTGTTACCTTCTTATTCAGGTCACTTCAGCAGTGCTTAGGCAAGTCTATTGATCTCTTCTGGATTAGTCATTTTCCCTTTGCCTTGGAAAGAAAAGGTGAAATTATATGTTCACTTTCATGTTTTGAGCAAAACTGTTAGTTAAATCTCAAATCAAAATTCTGAGATTGTGGTTGGTAAATTGAGATTAGTCAGTCAAGATTGGTTTATAACCTGAATATTCATGACCCGAAAAAGAAGTGATATGGTAAAGGTGTCACCCTGTTTTATTCTTATTTAAATGAAGAATAAAACTTCATTTCAATATAATACTATCTCTTTCTCCCTTCTGGTGTGCCTTGTGTGGTTTGCTTGTAGCCAGATTTGCTATGAAATGTTCAAAGCTAATGACCATAAATAAAACTACTTTCGGGTATACAAAATGTTATGCCCTGGCAGATCATTCAGGCTTTTTGTGTGACTAAAGACGACTGACAAACTCATAGATGCTTCTTGCTTTGCTTTTGTTCCTTGGTTCTTCCTCCATTTATTTTCACACAGGCGTTTTAGTGTTGTACTCCACTATAAAAATATATATTTTTGTTCGACAAGGCACATAACCACCAATCAGTCCTAGTGGTTTTTTTTTTTTTGAGTAGTAGGCCTTGAATGGTTCTTGCTGAACCACTGTGTAGTTACTATAGCCATAGGTAGAATCCTAGTTGAGGATTCTTGAAGAGAAATGCTAAAAAGCTATCCACTTGCCCAGGATTTTGGGGAGGGGGGAAGTATTTATCATAAGGCTAAAAACCAAGTCATAATGAATGTGCACAAGATAGATATATAAATGAAGCTGTAGCCGGTTTATGTTGGCATTTTCTTACTTCAATGTCCAACTTCTCATTTTAATATTCTTACTATTTACTAGAGGCAAATTGACATCTAACTTTAGTTGGAGTTTGGGCTGCTGGAGATATCATGGAGATCACAACTGTGTTATTGTATAGTGTAGTAAAAATTTAACTAAATGTGCTTGGTACCTGTAAGAGCAAAGTATTGTATATTTTGCTGCTTTAGAAATAAGAAGAAAGGAGGAATTTGGGGCTTTTAGGTACAGTTGTTAATGTAACAGCTATAAGACAATATTCTATCATTTTACCCTGATGCCCTTTGAATAAAAATCAAGGGGTGGGGGGGGGGGGGAAGAGAGATTTTGGTCTCAGTACATTTCTTACTTCACAGCAGAAAGTAGAATCACAGTCAAGTCTTGACTCTTTGATGCTTCAGAACAGAATCTGTGTACCTGTTTATATATTTAAAAATGCATATTAAAGCATTCAGTTAAAATACCCTACAGTTCTTTTATCTCTGTTTATGGTGTTTAGTAATATGTAAAGCTGCAGGGAGACAATATCCTTTTTTCATTCTTCCCAGCTGTAGTGCTTTCTGGACTTATGATATCTGGTTTTAACTTGAACTGCTTTTAATTTTGATTCCTAGTTAAATGAATTAAAGATGTTTTATAATGCATATATATTAAATTTTGTATCTGGTTAGATCTTTTTTTCAAAAAAGTCCATAAACCTTTTCTTTCTTTGCTGCTACTTCAGGAAAAACTAATTTTAGAATTTGTGGTGTGATTTCCTTGTGGTTCCCTTAATACGAACTAAACAAATGCTGAAAATGAAGTTATGTGAGTTCATAAAGCATATTTTGTGACTTGCTACTCAATTTCATATGAAAAATTGGCTTATGTACTCATGTGTTACTAGTTCCAGGTAGCATCCCTCAAGTGGATGGATATCTAAGTGGGGACAGCGCATGATAAGCAATCATTGCAGAGAACGATGCAAAGTGAATATAAAGCACAAATATAAGCGTATCTTTAAAAGAAGAACACATTGCCATACTGTAATTGCTCGTATTCTGTCAACTTCTAATTCTCTGTTCCTTTCTACTTAGGAAATATGAAGAAGTGTAAGCAACTTCTTCATAAAGCTGTGGACTGCTGTGCTGTTCCATTAGAAATGTTGGAAACTGCCCTGAAAAACTTTTATTCACAAAAAAAGCAGTTGCTTTCAGATGAGGAGAAGGAGAACTTTGCAGGTAATTGCAATTGCTTAAGATGTTCATTGGGTTTAACTTTTCAATCTAACATTACTAATTGCATATTGTCTAATGTGGTGTCTTTATGGTGTCTGAGAAAAGAACTCAAGGTCTATGTTACTGTCTTTTAAACAGTGATATTAATGAGACTTTAGGTAGCCTGCATTCTTCACTCTATTCCTTCAGTTCTCAATTGCATCTCTGCTGCAGTGACTTCGGGTTACCAGAGCCCTAAGATACAGTTCTTTGTGTAGTATAATGGCACACTAATTCTGCAAAGGGTGTTCCTCTATCTGTAGGTGTTTGCACTTTGTATTTAAGACCTACAGCTGAAAGTGTGAAATACAGAGCTAGGGATAGCAGAGACCTGAAAAACGTAGAACAAACTATACAGATAGCTTATTTTGAGGTGTATCTTATGAAGGTTATGCTGAAGAAGTTTTGATAGCCATTTTGGTGAAGTCAAATTCAGGAAAAAGAGAATCTGTTTCAACTTCACGTTTTTTTGACAATTTATAAAATAAAGCGCATACACTTTATTATATCAGTATATAATTGAAGTGCTTGATTATATGTACAATGTAACTGATACTGGTGGTCTGGTATATAATTTCAATAACTTACTAAGTTTTCAATAGACTCGTTTGCAGTGGAGTTCAGCAAAAAAAAAAAAGGAGTCCATGTCAAACGTAGAGGTGCATGTGACTAACTCTTGGCAAGAGTGGCATCTAGCGCATTTCTTAAACCTTGTATAAGGACAGAATTGGTAAAAATAGATCTGATTTCATTTCCATAAGGATACATCTACAGGAAAGTGTTTGCGATTTGGCTGTCTCCTGTTAAATCACAGAATCACAGAATCGTTTAGGTTGGAAGGGACCTCTGGAGATCATCTAGTCCAACCTCCGTGTTCAAGCAGGGTCACCTAGAGCATATTGCCCAGGATCACCTCCAGACGGCTTTTGAATATCTCCAGCGAAGGAGACTCCACCACCTCTCTGGGCAACCTGGTCCAATGCTCTGTCACCCTCACAGTGAAGAAGTTTTTTCTCAGGTTCAGATGGAACTTCCTGTGGTTCAGTTTGTGCCCATTGCCTTTTGTCCTGTTGCTGGGCACCA